AGAGTAAGAAGGAGACTTAGCACAGTATCTGATTTACACCAGGACTGGTTTTACCCACAGTACTCTGGTTTTACCCCAGAGCACTTTTATCCCCTCCTTCACTACTGCTACCACCTCTAGAGACTGCTGGTAACAGCACAGATCCTGGAGTGATGGAGCAAAAAGAGCAAAGCTCTTCCTGCCTCCTGCTCACTGCTCATTGCACAGCCCAGTGCACATCATAACAAAGAATATTTCCTCATCTTTCTGGTTTTAATGCAGCTTTTCTCCTTAACATCAAACTACAACCCTTAAACTCAATCTAAATCATTAATTTTTTTTTTTTCACTTGAGAAACAATGATAGCTCACCATCTCTTCTTCCTCATCTGGCTTGGTGTCCTACCTCTTTCAGTACCCTCCAGTGGACTGCTCAGGCTGTAAATGATGAATATCATGCAGGATACACCATGAAACAGAAGAGTCTGGAACTCTTTTGTGGAAAAGGGAACAACACTGCCTCACCTCTGCTGCTGCCAAGATGCAGCTTTTGCCCCTCTTAGTCTCTGTGTACAAATCCCTTCTACTTTTCCCACAGAAGAGCACTGAAGAAAAATTACCTGGAAATCAGAGTGCTGGTGCTGTTTCTTTTCATTGCTCTGTTCAAATTACTTTAATTTGCTGTATTTTTCTGCTTTTAAAGAATTGAGAAACTTTACTAGGAGCACTGAGAGCACTGAGAAAGCATTCTTGCTGCAATTTGGCAATAGAAATGGATAACACAGTGATTGCCATCCCTGTGCCCAGTACTGGGTGACTTACTGCCCTCCCACACAATAAAAAATGTACATTTCAGGCTACAAGTTGTTAAATCCTGTGCTCCTGGAGTCCCACAGCAAGAAGGGAATTTCATTTTGCATTTTTATGAACTGTATGTGCCTCCCTAATTTCCATGAGAATGCACAACAGGTCTTGTAAGAAAAAAATAATTACAACAAAGCAACTCACCAAGTAAATTTGTTATGCCCTAAGTCCTGAATTCTCACTGAGCCTCCTTTCTCCTGTACTTAACTCCTTTTGTTAAACAACCACCACTCACCAAGATCACTGCCAGGTATCAGGGTGGGCAAAAAAACCCTGAATAATGTGCTGTAACTCTTTTTATAGACAAGACAGGAGTAGAAAACTGCAACAGCCTCTTCTGTATTACAAAACACGAACAAAAGAACAAATGTGCTATGACCTACTGGTGACAAATGAAGGTAATATAAAGCCTTGTAAGATTTCAGCTTTATTAGCATTATTTAACTTCTGAGACCATTAAAGGAGGCATATTTGATGAATGCAGCTGTGGGGACAGAATGGTTTTGGTTATGAAAGCCTGGTGTGGCACAGAAGAGAAAAATGAGAGGACAAAGCCAAGAGCTGTACAGCTTGGGAAGAGCAGAAAAGATGGGGCCAAGGTGGTCAGTACTTATTGACAGCTCAGATGTTAGCAGGGAGAGGGCAGCTGTGATGGACACTGCTGGAGAAGCTCCCAGCTCCCAGTGGAAATGGCTGGAAAAGCTGAAGAGAAATTCAGATAAAAACATCCCAATGTCAAAGAGAGCAGAAGTGTGCCTTGATCACACTATGGGAACATAGTGAAATGCTGGAATGACACACACTGCCTTATCAAATCTACTGTTAATCATCCTTTTATAGGCTAAAACTTTGCAGGAGACACTCCTGAGGATCCAGCAGTACCTCTTTTTCCAGCAAAAACTAAAAGGAGCAAACACCCATCTGTACAAAGGGCAGATGAGGATTTTTGTCTCCAAACTGTGGCAGCCAGATGTTGATAAAATAACATGATTTTTAACTCAGCACACACCTTATTTATCAAGATACAGCTTTGAGAAACAAGCACTGGAACAGTTCCACTAAATACACACACCATATATTGTTCCCACAGTCAGTTAATTACACAGCTTAGTGGAAAAGCCTCGTTAATGTTATGCACTTTACAGAAAGCATCTACATCTATCAGTGGAACAGTATCTTGTAAAAAACACTTGCCTGATTGCTGTGTCTTCCCATTTAGAGACAAAAGAAAGCTCTAAATGACAAATTTTGGCCACAACCAACCAATCATGCAGCAATCAAAACTGAACATTATTAAGAGCTAAGACAGAAAAATCAGAAATCATCAAGAGAGCATCACAGTAACAGATGGGCTATGTAAAGGTTTTATTTTTTATTTACAGCAAATATATTACAGTAAAAAAGGTTAACATGACTCGTGGTTGTGGAAGGATGGTACATATGCATACATCAAAAAGGTTTCATTTTCTTGGCACTAACTGAACTGAATACAAGGATTCAACACAAAAATAAGAAACAGAACTTTTATTAGGCAAACTCTAACTGTACACATCTGCAACTGGGGTTTCAATGCAATCCAAAGAACACAAACAAGTCATCAGGATGGCAAAGATGAACTTTTTTGATGAACATGTTGAACCCTCAAGACAAGGCTGTCTGGCACCATTTAAAAGCTGCTGTACTGAACACACTGATTTTAAAGAAATGTCACAGATGATTAAGACACTGAAAATGCACTCAGCACAGTGAAGAAGCCCATTATTTTCCTTATTTCTTTTTCTACTCCCACAGTACCAGAGTGTTAAAAGGCTGCATGGCAGACAAGCTGGATGCAACAGCTGGAGAATTTTGCCTGTCAAGCAAAGTGACTTGCAGCAAGAGATGTGCTTTCTGCAACAAACCCAATGATACACAGCTTGTGTGGCTTCAAGGAAGAAGATCTAAGAATACCAAATGTTGAAGCCTTATAAGCTTTTTACATCATAATCAGAATCCTGAGAAAAGCAGGATCCAAATTACTCCAAGTGAATTCGGGCTTACTTATACACAACAAAATTGTCCAGATATACCAACAGTAGTAAACAGAGTTAATGCAGTGTTAATCCTTTTACATTTTAATGACTAGCTATAAAAACAGAAACTAGCATGTTCAAATCTGTTTACATTTCCTGAGCTTAGTTAAATGAAGAAGGAATGAACGTTACAAAAATCCCGGTAAGTCACCAATAAATTAAAAATATACATAAACACTACAGCTTAAGAAGCTCAGAGTGAAGTCTGCCTATCCAATATTCTTTCTTTAGGAATCCTGTACAGAAGCCATGCCATTAACTTCACCAGCAATATTGAGATGCTATGGAATTGTAGGTCTTTTTTTTTTTCCCTTGCTCTTCCAGCAGATTGCCTGATGGCCTTTCCTAATCAAATCATATGAGAGCATTCAAAAACTGCAACCCTCTACTTGCAGTGCACAAAACAATGTTCTCAGCAACACAATGTACTACTGAAATTCAGATTTCCTAGCTGCAGTTATTGGGGTGGGCTCTCAGCTCTCACACACACCACCACCACCCTGGCAGCAGGTTTGGTACCCTTTGGAAGAACAAAGCAGGAGACTGGAGGAAAGACCCTCAGCAATATCCATCTTATTAGCCCATCTTAGAGGTTTCTTTAAGAGCCAACATCTTGCATTTGAGAAAAGCACTCGACCTACATGAGTCATACACATGTTTATTTATGCATGTTTATTTCCTGCATAGAGAATACTGTGTACCTTGGAATAAAACCCAAGTCTTGAGAATATACTGAGAGTATATTTGTAGCAGTGCTATGGAAGATTAATTCAAACCCAAACAATCAAACTCAACGGTCTCAAAGACTTGCAGAGCACAAACTTTGATAAAACAAACCACTTTTTAGAAAACTGTCTGCTTATAGCATACTTCTATTTTATGGTGTAGATAAAAGAGAGGTAGAAAGGTTTATCTCCTCAGTATCAGTTTCTGTGCAGTATTTATAAAATGTCAGAAAAAAAATCTATAGCTTTTCAGTGAAAATGCCAGCTTTTCTCCTAAGAATATAAGGAATCTCTTCTTTCCACTTAAGTGCTGTAAACTAAGTAACTGGAATCTGGTTCAGAAGAGCTATTCTTTCCAGTAGCCTTACCACACCAATTTTGTTACCAAGTTCTGCTTCTAAGAAGTTATTACAGAAATACTCCTATACAGGAGTCAAAAATCCCTCACAGATACAACCCACCAAGCCATATTTACCAGCCAAATAGCATCAAGTCTGCTCCTTAAAAAATCACTCACTCTTGCTCAACTTGCATGATCCAAGCTACCAAGAGGGACAGAGAAGAATGGAAGTATGGAAGGCTGTGTGGCCCTTCCCTCTTTAGTGATGATCTCAGATGTGAGCACCATCATCACCCTGTCTGGCAGAGCATCCTGAAGCAGCTTCTCTTCCTGTCACAATCCAATCTCTGTAGCAGGAGGATGGATGGTGCTTTAGTAACCAGTGCTCCTGAAAAAAGGTAGGAAGGAAGACCGGACCAGGAGACACAGCTGAACAGAAACTGTGCTGGTAAGATAAATATCCATCTTTCCCTGGTGTTAAGAGAAGCCTACAGCAGCACTACAGTTTTCATGATTGTCACCAGATAAGGGAGAGAGATGGAAACATCCAGAGTGTGATCCAGAGTGCCGTGCATTTCCCACGGAGCCGAGAGCCTCGGGCCCAGCAGTGCCAGGGGAAGGCAGGTCAGAGGCACCAGGGTGGGATCTGCCCACAGGGGCTCCACTCCTGACCCCTGCTCTCATGGCACTGCCAGAACTGATCCAGCTGTGACAGAGGACCTGCCTGCTGACATTTCAGGGCACACAGGGCTGGAGCTCCAGCTTTATTCACATAGCAACGACTGTTCAAGGATGGGATTTGAGCCATGAAAGTCAGGCTGCTGCACGGTGACCTTTAATTTACCCAGTGAATGCTAAGCAAATTACATTAAATTAAATTCAGTCAAAGCAGATGCTAGCTTATTTATTAAAAAGCTCAGCTTTCTCTTTCTTTCAACTGGTTTTAGAGACCAGCAGCTCTTGGGAGCAGACCCTCACTCTAACTAAGTCAGGCAAGAGCAGCTCCACAGAGATGGCCAGAGTGACTTTCCTGCAGCAACACCAGCCTAAAGAAGACCTGGCTTTCCCTAAGGATGCCCAGCAACAGCTCATGAGCACAGCATGTTTGCCTCCTTGCTCCCTGCACTTCCTACCCAACCCAGGTGTTCTGCCTCCTTCCACAAAAACCACACTGGACTCACAATGGAAGACAATTCTTCATTGCCTTCTACTGTCAGATATTTTAAGAAATCTATGAATTTACTAATATAAAGAAGTATTTACTCTGTTTCAGAAAACCAGTACTGCTCTGCAAATATATAACTTGTCATTAACTTTTGACAGGGTTGGGTAAGGGAACCCGTATACAGTAACATGGTCACATTCACAATCCAGGTTGAAAACATTTCTTTCTGTCAGTTGTAGCATGATGAGACTGACTAATTTTCCTGTACTCAAATAATCAACAGGCCCTGTCCTTCAACCTGCTCCCTTTCAGCAGTATGCCTAAAAGCAGTCACATAAATAAGAGATGTGCTGCTTTCAGCCACACAGGCTTCATGCACAGTCTGTTTTGTCTCTTCTCTTTTGTTCTCTGGAAACATTACTCTCATTAATTTAATTCTCCAACTATGATCCACCAAAATAAAAATAAATTCAAGTAGGAATCCAAACTGGTTATTGCTGGGTTATGGGTCAATGTAAACTGACCAGACCCAATGCCAACCTTGAATTCACTTTACAAAAGTAAGGATTGTTCGATTACATTTGCTGACCATAGACAGCTTCTTTCACTATTCATACAGCTTGAAGACAGAAGATTTGCTGAGAACAAGACACAGTCCATGTCCCCTGGAAGTAAATGGAGCTAATAGCCATCATCTTCATCCATATCACAGCCATAATCTGAAACACACAAAGACAAGGACATATAAAAATGCAAATATTCTGGGTAGATGGAAGACACAATAGAAGTATTGCTTCTTTAAGGTTGTTTTCTTGCTATGTAACTACAGGATAAGTTTTGCCTTAGGCAAGCATTTTAAAAATCATCTATTTTCTTAGGCCTAAATAAGTTCTTGCATGTACTTCCCTCAATGAAATAAAATTATTTTTAAGCATGTATGTGTAAGTATCTCCTCTCACTTGTCACTAGACTCTCCTTTAGGAATACTTGGCACATGTATATGTGAAATACTTAGTTTAATTTAGAGGCAAAGGTGATCAAGCCTGATTGTCACAAGTGACTTGGCACACAGTGGCTGATAAGCAGCAGCATTAATTTACAAGTAGGCACGTTTTTCACTAGATATCGGCACCAAGGAAAAAGCTGGTTTGTTTATATTATTCATGGATTTATGAGCTGAAATTACAAGGGTTCAGAGATAGCTCAGAGTTCCCATCAACATCAAAAGAGGCATGGAATGAATCCTGACCAATGCATCTGACTCAGATCTCCCTTATCTTCTTACTTCTAGACTTAAAATTTTTGCCCAGATTTTTCAATCCAGTTTTGTTTTCTTAAACAATGCTGAGTGCAAAGACTGTGTGCTGTGTGTCAGAAGGCAAGTCTGTATGTTTCTAATGCACCTCTTTCTCTTCTGTGTGCTTCTGAATGCACTGACACAGATACTTTCTGTTGTGTAGATGAACCTATGGATAATTATTGCATATGAGCACTGAGGAAAGTTAAACTTCATATTCCAAATCCAATATAGGGCAACATCTCACCCAAAGAGACAAGCAAATGCTCAGAAGCAGAATTAAGTGTAATCTATAATGATTTGTGTAGAATGAGTGAAGTTCACCATCTGTAATTCATGTTGTTATTCCAGGCAGGCAGGTCTAAAATCCACAGAGAAAGCACCAGGAAAGAGTTATTTGCTGTGGTGAGCAGCTCTGTACACCTGCATCTGAATTCTGGGAATACTCCTTTCCTTTTCGTTTTTATTTTTATTTTTTAACTCTAATTTTTCAGCTGTTGTCCAGGCCAGACAGGGAGTAGTGGAATGTTCTCAGAATGGTTCAAAATTAGTAACATTTACAAAGAAAAAAAACTCAGTGACCTTTATTCTATTTTTGTGGGGGGTTTATTAATAAACATAGACCCACCCTCCCCCACATGGATGCCTTTTCTTGGGAACGTTATTCTAATAATAAATGCAGGCAACAAACTGTTTTTCCTACAGTTCAGCAATTATTTTCCAGCAGAGAAATAAATTTAAAAGCAACAGACACTTTTGTGAAATGTATACAAATTGTCCATGAAAGCTAAATGAATAGTGATGGAAAGATTTTTGCAGTAAATAACATTTCACTAGGAAATTTATTCCCATCTTGAGTCTTCACAACCCATAATTAGCAGCTCCCATTTTAAAAATAATTTTGTGTATTTTCAAAGCTTAACTTCTAAAGGGAAATTTTTAATAAAGGATAAATGTGGATGTGTCCAGCTAGGAAAAACCACAGTGGAGAGGAGACTGCCTTTTCCTGCCAGCAAAGAAATCTAATTAAACCAGTGGCTTTGCTGGGTAACCCAAAGAAATTAGCACACATCTGTGTACCATACATGCACCACCAATGCCATTCCTGCACTTGGGGAACAACTGCTTCCTCCTAACACCTTCCTCAGAAACAGAGTGTGATGATTTGTTGTGTTTTGAGCTGGACAGACACATCCCCAGCGCTCACGGGCAACCTGGACATCACTGCAGCCTCCACTGAGGAGGCACAAGGAGAAGGGAGGGGAGGCTCAGGGGGCCCCAGGCACTGCTAATGAAGGGGTTACTGACCTCCTAACTCCTCAGATCCCCCTAAATAAACCTAATTCTGGAAAACACCCCACACTTCAGTTTGCTCTTGAGAAGATCTCTTAGCCTACAGCTCGAGATGCAAAGGCTGCTCAGGAGGAGCCTCCAAGGTCAGGTTTCAGACAAGGGTGATTCCAGGCCTCCCACAGGAACAGGCAATGCTGAAAAGGCAGCAGGAGCTCTGGGACAGGGACAAGCAGGGGAACCCTGTGTGTCCCCAGCCCTGGAAGAACAAAGCCCACAGCAGCAGAGATGGGAACCCCAGCTCACCATTTCCTCCCATTAACTGCAAGGCGCTCATGCAGTGATCTTCATCTTCTTCCACCTCTTCCTCTTCCACCTCTTCATCGGGGTTGTAAGCTACTGGGCCACTCTCCACAAGCACAGCTGCTGGTTTTTCTACATCAGAGGCTTCAGCTTGTGCATTTGGAAAGGTAACCTGCACAAAAGAAGAGAGAACAGTAGAGCAGCCCTTCCTTTGGTCCAATATTTGTACAGAACTTTAGCAGCTTCCAAACAATAAGGACAGGAGAGATGGAAGCTCATGTCCAGTGCTACAGCTTCAGCTGTTCTAATGGAAGTCTGAATGAAAGTCAGGCAAAACCACTCAGTTTTCATTTAGTCCAGAACCAGGCAACTGAAATACCCTGTAATGGTAACAGCAGAACAAGGATTCTCTGGCAAGCCCAAGAGAAGGAGAAATTTGGGAGCGAAGGCTCCTCTGTAGAGTTTTGTGTGAAAACAGTAGAGCTCTGTGGGAAAACTTAAACCTCTCCCACGGTGTGCTCAACTCACATCAGGCCTATTACAAAATAACAACGTTATTGACAATTTAATGGTAGCAAAAATGTACCCTTCAAATCAGAAAAAGCCCAACATGTATTAGTTTTGACAGCTCTGGTTGGATTTATTTGGCGGCGCAATGAGCTGTGGAACAAATAGCACTCTGAAGACAGCACTTAATGTGATGGCAGAGCACTCAGTTGATAATACACACTGGCACCTGTGCCATTACCTGTGGAATTCAGCAGAATAATGATCTCCAAACACTACCTTGGCCATCAATCATGGATGGGACCTGTTCTGTACGTGGTCCTCCCCAGCTGCTCCAAGGTTAGGCAGGACACAGCATGGAGGGAGAGAAAGGGCAACACCACAAGGGAATAGAGGTGAATTTGGAGTAGGTAATGCTGTCTTTGGTTCACTAAGGAGAGATCTGGGAACAGGGCAGGAAGCAGCAACAAAGCCTGTGCCAGCACAGCTTAGGCTCTGCTCTTTCTGTGTAAGCTTTCTTCTCATTTTCATGGTGTGCTCACTTTGGAGCTCCACCTCCTTCTCTCATCCAGGGAAGAAACATCACAGGAGCTTTACCTCCATCAGCTCTGTAATAGGGCACTTTCCACACCCATTCTGTACTTGGACTGTTGGGGTTCATACATTAGAGCCCATGGCACACAAAACCAGCCAATTAGCAACTGGACGAACCTTAAAGATTATCCATGAATGCTGTGTTGTCATGTGAAGAATTCTGAGAAGGGAATATTGACAGTACCTGTCACCAGTCAGCTGTTACCAGCACCAAGTCATCTTCCCTAGTAAGAAAGATGGAAAAGACTGGGACCTCTTCCTTGGAAGGACCAGTGGTGAAGTGCTTCTAAAAATGAATGGTCCAAAGGAGATCAAAAATCCTCAACTCCTCTGGTCCATACCATGGGAAAAGTGCCACAGTGCTCTAGGTTTTAAATTACAGTACACAATTATGTACTGCTGCATGTTCTCCAATTCCACTGGCAGCAACCTCTGATAAAATGCTGCAGTTCATTTTTTTTTATTTATTTATTTATTTACAAATCTATTTACTTGGGATGCAGTAGCTCCCAGAATCCCTGTAACTCCAGGCACTTCAGAGATACGCCGTAAGAGAAAATCCCTGTACCAGAAAGTTGATAGTCTAATTATTCAAACATCAAAGCTGCTCCTGAACTTGTCATACACCATGACAGTCAACCTAAAGAATCTGCCTGAGTTTTTCAAAGTCACCTCAGGGTTTGCTCCAACAGCTCATTAATAGGGCAAAAGACATCCATTAATTTTAACAGAAAATCAAGTATTTAGATATTCGGATCAGTCAAAGACAGGTTTTCATTATTTTTTAATGCTCAAATTAATCATATTATTTAGAGGAACTTCCCTCCAGTTTATATTTCCTACCTCTGCTTTTACCTCTGTGATCAAATTGAGTCTATCTTGGTATAAGCAGAAATAGACACAAGAGTTTGAAATAAATCAGCATCATAATATACATCAATTTATATGTTTAAAAGTATCCATCTGCTCTGAAAAAGTGGGTGAATATAAAGGAGCTACAATTGAGTCATTATTTTTTAAAATTGCTCCATGCTAATTAAAATGTGACCTTCTTCTAATTATCATGTCCACTTCCAGACTGCTGTACTTCTAAAAATGTGCAGAGTTTTCTAATGAGCATAGAATAAAAAGTGAAAATGTATTTCCCTAGGCAGGATATCAAACTGTTTCTGAAAATCAATGACTTTTAGTCATGTTAAAAAAAAAGGCAGTCAAACAACACCTTTAAATAGAACTTCCTGAATTCACTTCCAGACATCCTGGACTGGAGTTTGGCACTTAGCTTTATGTATGGATGGGCAATTGTCAAAGGTGTTAAACTACCTAAGGGACCTGGTTCACTTTCAGAAGGGTGTCAGTCACACATTCATGGGCAAGAGGGACAAATACCTTTGATATACTGAATTTTTAGATATGCAGTAGACATTTTGTTGTATACAAAATGCCTGTGAACACTCTGTATAGTGTGAAATTAATAGTGAAAGAAAGCAGCCATTATTGTCACCTGGTTTCACTGAAAATAATAGTGATCTGAAAATAATCATGATCCCTTTGGGAGGTGCACAAAGGCACACAAGGAGGGCTTCTGGCAGTGGCCAGGTACCAGCACCAACTTTTCTGTGGCATTATTACATTTTCAAACTAGACAAACCAAGAGTAAGTCAGGCTGCATAGGGTAAGCTCCTTCCACACTGGTCTCTGACAGAAGCCCAGCCCATCCCTGGGGTCAGCTCTGGCTGCACAAAAGTGGAGTTTGCAAAGTCCTTCTCTGTGAGGACAGTCCAGGTGCTGGGAAACAGGCATGAGCTCTGCCCTCTCCTACTCCTCCTGATCACTGATTTGACATGGACCTTTTTAGATGCTTGCAGGGAGTTTTCTCTTTTTTGCTGTCCAATGAAGCATCATGAGGTTGTGCTAATGTTCTTATGGATAAGTAAGGCAAGCCTGGGTTAGAAAACAGGCAATCTCAGCTTTGCTGTGTTCACAGTAACCAATTTCTGGCCTGATCAGACAAACAAGACTCATTTTTTTTTACCCTTATCTACCACATGACCAGAGCCAGGCTGAAAATAGCTTGTGGGAATTTCCAAACTCAACCTCTTGCACCAGGTTAGAGAAGTGCTGGACTTTTCTTACCTCTTCAGTGGCAGCCTTCTTAGCAAACTGGGTTGAAATCAAGGGTCTCAATCTGCAAAGAAAGAAAGAAAAAATGCTGAACATCATTTTTCACAAGAGTTTAACACAGAGTATTCATTCTCCAAACAGTGAAAGCACTTTGCTAGTGTTATGTTGTGCAATTACTTTTTTAATGATTTAAAATAAAGAGCAGAGAGCCACAAATGCCACGATAATTAACACATGCATTCCCTTGGAAGAGTCTGTCCCAGATCAAGGTAATAATAAAAGATGCCAGAACAGTAGCAAAACCTCATCTCAAAGTGCAGCCCCAGCTTCTCCCCAAGGTCTTTGAAATAGCTGTGTTTGTCACATTTTACAAAAATCAAAAGAAAACTGGTTTTTGGAAGAATGCAAACATGGCAAGACTGGGCCATGCTCTGATTACTGGTCTGCAACTGCTTCTCTGCATCTGATGATACATAGAGGATACCAGTAAGATTATGCATGCAGGATACCATAACCATCACAGGCAAGAAGTGAACATCCAGCTACAGAAATCATAAAAAAAACCCTGGGGACCCTGAACACCTTGAATGAGAAATGACAGAAATTGAACATAAACATTTTTAAAAACTCTGCATCAGATGTGAAAGAGACCTGTATGTTTGGGGGAGAAGAGCTGGATCAGTATAACTTTACAGCTAAGTGTTAAATATTATTACTTCTGAAAAGCATTTCATAGTCTGTTGTTTCCACACTGCCAAGGAGGCTGTTCTCAATCCATCATTTAGTGTTACTTTCTGGTCTCTCCTGCTCATCTAGATGGATCTAGTCACGAAGAGGATGACTTGCTTTCCACAGAAACACTGCTCAGACAGCTCCTCAAGCACGTCTTTTAACCAAGTCTAGGCAAACAACTTAATGAATACCAATTTATGCCTCCAGAGATACAGTCTTTTATGAGAAGCAGTATTTTACTCTCATTTTTCTCTTAGTCATTCCTCCTTGTTAACACACAGAAACTCGTTGTTTTCCTACTTATTTATTTATTTCAAATAATCAGCAGGAGGAAACAAAACCCCAGAGAATGAGCAGGGGAGACTCAGATCATTATCTCTGATGGTGGAGACAATATTAAAATACAAGATATTAGCTAAGCTCCAGAAAGGTTCAAAAACTGGTAATCTCTGAAATGCTTTGCAGGACCCAAAAGGCATTTCAACAACTCAAGTAGCTGAAGGTGCCTCCTTCCAGCAGATCAAAACAAAAAGAAGCTAAGGGAATGTTTCAGGAGCAGTGCCACTGAAGAATCCAGAACACATTATTCTGCTACAGATACTTCTTGTCATATTACATAATTACAAAGAATTTAAAGAAAGAGATTCACTTGACCTACATAAATATCTATTACTTACAAATCCTGGTCGACTTCTGGGCTCAAAGAGATTATATTTGAAGACATGGACACACTCCTCCCTATGTGCTCAGCCTCGTCTTTCCATTATCTAACCCCAATTGTAGAGTTTTCACCTTTAAATGCTGTCAAGTCCCACCTGCTGCAAGGAGCAGGGATACCTTCAACCTCACCAGGTTGCTCAGAGCCTGTCCAACCTGACCCTGAATGTTTCCAGGGACAGGGAATCCACCACCTCTCTGGGCCTGTGCCATTGCCTCACCACCCTCATAACAAGAAAGTTTCTTCCTTAATTCCCAAGATTTGAGAGTACCTACCTACTTTCAATCACTGTTTTCCTAAAAATCACCCAGTTTGGATGCTTATAAACTCATGGATGCAGCAAAGCCAAAAGGTTGCATAGCTGAAGGATTCTAATTATCAAACAGGTTGTGTTTCATTGACATGACTGAAAAACACCCAACATTGGTAAGAAATGAAAGACTTTTATTTTAAATTCATAGTCATGATTATTGCAATTAACATTGTACCAAAGATAGCACCTTTTCCCTCCTGCTACCCAAAGACATCAGACCTCCCTGGAGCACCCTGAAAATATTTCCTCCCCCCAATTAAAATCAAGCTGTTGAGTAAGACTCACAAGGTAATCAGAAACTGCTGACATTTCTTTTAGAGCAAATTATACATGTGCTCACACAGTGAAGAAAACAATCACAGCTACAGGAAGCAGAGTAAACATTCCAGTTTCATTTTAATTAAAATGGTCCCCTAATGAAAATAAAAAGATTCACGTTTATGAAAAGCCTATTTGGAAGAACTTTAGTGCTACATCCAAGAGCCCTTCTATACCATTTCTCAGCAGCAAGGGATCCTCACACCCAAACTGAAATTAAAGCTGTATTTCTGTTCCACAAGAGCCACTCACAACGTGCACATCTTCACTTCCTTACAACAAATACAGCACTGCCATCTGATTTGACAATACAGTTTCTCTCTCAGCATAGTGTAAAATGCATCCAGAAGCAGTGGTGTGGATCCTGCTCCTGCCATGGATGGTCAGCACCTGCTGCAGGCCAGATCCAAGGGTGGATCTCATCACCTGGGTGGAATGGCTCAGCCCACTGCCCCTCCATACTACCTGCTTCCTAAAACGCTAACCACGACACTGGAAAAAGGTAAAACCATCACAAAAACTTATTTCCCTGCTGAAATAATGGCTTTGATTCAAACTACAGCTATAAAAGTTATAAATACATAACCCCCTTGGCTCTCCTTATGCCTAGGGAGAGTCTTACTATTACTGTACAAAACCATTTAAGAAGGTTTTATAGTCGGGGGTGTTGTTTTGTTTCTTAAATGCCCCAATGTCCTGACCTCCTTAAACCAGAGCAGCTGCTGCCACACCAGCCATATGGAGCAATAAATTACTGGCTGCCATGGCTACAGATACAGGCTCCTTCTGCTGTCTGGCTGCACCTCAGAGGGTGGAAAAAAGTGTCTTCATGGAGAAGCACGACCCCTTTTGAGGCTGGGACAGGTCTGAGTATTAATGATCAAAAAGCACCTTGAAAAAATAAGTAATTGAAGTATCTTATCCAACTTTCACTGGGCATGACTCAACCTCTATAGAAGGCTACCAAGGGACACACATGCACAGAAGAAAGATCCTGTCCATCAAAGTCCAGACTGAATTAGAGGTTCACTAATTCAATAAATAGCTCAATAAATAATAACAGCCTGCATTAAAGTACAATTCCATATATCCTGAAGTGACAACAGCATCCATTTAAAATGTAATGTTGTGACTGGGAAATAATGGGGCTCCTGGTCTTCCAAAGTGTGTCAGTTGTCGTTCACTATTTATGATGACTTTTAGTTTGGGGTATTTTCCTTTTGAACTTTGCAAATTAACACAGTACCTTGTGGGAGGGAAAAACAGAACAAGCAACTTTCTGAACAGCAATGTGATGCGTAAAAGGGGATAAAAAAATTTCACACAGCCCCAAGTGTGTTACATCCACACTTCAAACTACTTCAAAAATTATGCAGATCTACTAATGCTCATGTCAGCCAACACACATAACACTGGAAGCAGATTATCTTGACATGTTTGTGACGACAAAAACTAATGGCATGGTACAAGGCATCAGAGGCTGCTCCCTGCCGAATCTGCTCCGCTCTCAGCTGAGATGTGCATGATAACGTCTGGGTTTGTCCTCCAGCTTAACAATTTAAAAGAAGATTCAATATAATAGCTCCTGACAGGGCTGGAGATCACACAGACTGAACTTTCAAAGTGTTTTTCTCTGCAAAACAAGCTGGCTGTGACAAACAACAGTTTTTATTTTGCTTATTATTTAATAACAAAAGATTACACAGCATAGTACATAAAAGAGAAAGAGCAGCGAGAGGTAATAAGCCCACCTCACTTGCATCAGACTGTTCATCCACCAAAAAGTTTGACAATACCATAACAATCTCCTCAGTGAAATCCTACAAGTAATTTGGAAACTCACCCAAAGCTCTTTTCTTACTGAATTTTAATTTAATCCACCCATGTAGGGAACATCTTATTGCTGCTTACCGCCCATACTAATTTTATACACGGATGGTCCCAGAATACACAATGGGAAGCAGAGATCGAGCAGAGCCCACAGCCACAAGCCTGCAGTGTAATTATGCAGGTCATCCAAGACAACTGCCCATGAAACCTATATATCCATGCACAGGCCTTTCATGTGCAGGGACAGAAAAAACTATTGAGAAATGACTCAACAAGAGACAGGTCAGGTTCTTCACGCTGGCCGAGATCCTCCTCCCACCTGAGGCCAGATGGTTTTGCCTCAGGAGGTCAGTTTACTAGACATCTGTGTGAGAAGGAAATTAATACAAATGTTTACACAGGCTAAGAGTGCCCTTTAATTAGGTACCATCAATGTTATCCTTACCGGAAAGCTGGGAATTACCTCTCTGCAAGGATTTAAATCTCCTCTTGGAAACACAACAGCATCAGGAGACATTGCCTGCTGTCCTGACATTGGGTCAGGACAAAGGGGTGACCCTCCCATACTTGGATGACTGCTGTCTTCCAGAGGGCAAAACCAAGGCTGCAATGATAACCATAACCCTGGAGCACTTCAGGGTTTGCACATCCAGCTGTGGATCCCACCATCTTCTACCTCTGCTTCTGCCTGAGAGCCAGATGCTCACAAGAGCCATTCCCTCTGCTCGAGAGGAAGTGGAGGCACCCAGCCAAGGCCAGGGCTGGCTGTGACACCCATGGACAGCAGCATGATGCCCTGAAGACAGGGGCTGGGGGTCAGGGTGCACTGCACCACCTCAGAAGTTCAGATGTAACCACAGACACCATCATGCTCTGCAGAATGACAAAGCACCTGTGATGCTCACACCTTGAAACCATGTGTGCCTGAATGTGAGGTAGGCAGGTGGTTTTGGCTTTCTCAAGACCAGGCTCTTTACCCTGTCCAGCTCACCATCGCTGTGAAAGCCCCAAGGAGTTTCCCTAAATTGTTCCCCCAAGTGCCAGGACTGCAGAGACCCCAACTAATGGCAGAAAGAGCATGTCCAAACTGCAATGAGCTCAGCTCCCACACAGCTGGTCCCTTTGGAGATGGCTCAGTGCTGCCAGCTGTACA